GGCTTGCCCCTTTTCCTGCCCGGTTTATATATATATTTTTTTTTCAAAAACTTCCAATTAACTATTTTTTGTTTTTAGTTTGTAGCTAATTATTTTTTTATTCTTCACAGAGCGGGTTTGGGGCGCTTCGAGGCGGGGCACCCCTTCCCCTCCCTGCCCCACCCCACCCCACCCCACCAACCCGTCGGGATGGGTTTTTTTCGTCCCATTCGGGGCGGGGCGGATTTTTTTGTCATCACTAGCATAGGCGTCTGTTTCTGAAATATCCAGCAAAAATTAGAATTTTTGCCATATTACAGCCTAAGTCCCCAACTTTTGTACTTGTATGCTTTGGTCCCCAACTTCACATTTTTGCATACTTTTAGTCCTTTTTCTTCCTTTTTCGCTTCTTTCTCTTTCTTATTGGGGTTTTTGCCTACAAAAGTGAAAATTACACAATCATGGATAGAAATCAACTCAATTTCAATTATTTTTAACTCTGAAAAGTGCCGAATAAGTGTGTAAAATCACACTTATTAGAGGAAGATGACCATTTTTAGGGATGCCCTTAAGGCCGGGCTTAGGTGGCCTCTCCACCCATTTTTCATCTATTTCCCGACCTCCTTTTTTATATGTCCGGGCCAATTAGCCCCCAAACGGGTGGATGCTATTGGTCTATTTTTTTCATTTTATGTAGATGCCTCGAGGTCGAGCCAAGAATTGACCTCTTAAGGATGGTTTACGACATGAAATTTTCGCCCGGGTAAAACTACTTTGTTTATTTATCTACAAAGGATAGGTTTAGGACACTTGAAACCCTGAGTTCACTTAGGGGTTGGAAAGAGCGTTTCTTTTTTGTAAAAACTCAGGACCCCAACCACCCTTTTAGTCCAAGGTAGGAGATCCCTGATAAAGATAGGTTTAACGAGAGTCAGGAGCACCTCGAGTTTTTGGAGAGGGATAGGCTATAGTTAGTGAATCAGGAACCCTTCGCAGCAAAAATCGATTATCTACTCGAGAATGACACCCTTGACCTTGCCAACGTGAGAGGGATCGAGAGTATGATCTTCGACCTTTTGCTTTGTTTTAACGTTAGTGGCCCGATCAACACCTTGAGCTAATGCATTGTGTTATTTTGCAGAATTAGAAATGTCTTTCGATCCTTCAAAACTCCTTGCTAACGTTCACTACAAGGCAAAGGGTCTGAAGCCGAACCTACCTACCCCGTCGAAGGGGAAGAAACGAGCCTCGGAGGTAGCCCTGAGTAAAATCCCAAGTGGGGTCGGGTAGTCATCAAGGACAAAGAGCACGGCTCCCCCATCTTAGCCTTCTCCTCGAGGAAATGTTCGAGCCTCCACTCTCTGGTGTACGCCTGAGATCGTTGACTTGGATGACGATTCCATCCACCTGACCTCACTAGACGAATATGCACAATGCTCACTGATCTCGAGCATTGCTAATAAATATGTTGAGGATGTCGATTACAACGAAAGGACGAAGACCCTCGAGCTTTTGACTCTTAAGGTAATATCTCAAACTGTTTTTAAATATATATGTATACTTTATTCTTTTGTGCTCAACTTTACATTGGCCCATTTTATCTTCTCAGACTTTGAGTGTGGCTTGGGGCTTAGCCTTGAAATGGGCCACCACCTCTAGCAGAATGGGTAGCTCCAGGACGAGGTCCAGCAAAGCAGAAAATGCATCTATGAGCTCGAAGTAGAACGGGACCTTGCAAGAATCGAAACACGAAAGGCTCGGGACCAAGGGGTGCTACGAAGGACAAGGCTGAAGAGGCTCGAGCTCATTCATGCAAAGAAAGGGTTCAAGGATCAGCTGGTAAAGGCCAGAGCTTATGTAGTTAAGGAATTTAAAAATTCTGAGGAGTTTGGGACGCTGCTTGGCCATTATGGATTGGGCTCCTATCACTATAGCCTAAGACATGCCCGTTCATACTTGTGGACTAAATTCCCTGATGACCTAAAGCCCATTGTCGAGGAGCTCAAGTCAGTGAACGAGCTTCCAAATGAGCTCGAGCTTTTGTCGTTGAAGGTCAAAGGTAGAGAAGAGGATGGGAGGAGGCTGAGACCCCCAATCAAGGCAACCCTGCTAATTTATATTAGGCCTTTACCCCGTACTTTAATCGTTAGTTCTTTTGAAATTGTAACTAAGTACATTACCCGATCTGGGTTTATCCTTTGAATTCGATGTCAGTTCAATATTCTGGCTTTTACTATTCGTTTCCTGATTAGTTACTCATATCGACCTTGATATCAAGCACTATCTAACTCTAACTTGCATAATGTTCGAGTTTTTGATACGTATGGTCAGCTTCAGCTCCAGCTTTTGTTTGATAATGTGCATCATGCATTACTCGAGCCTTTTTATTGATTTTTTATTTCTTGTCGAGCTCGATGGGGGTATGCACAGTACGTGTGTGTTGCGGAGCTCGAGTTTTTATCTAATTTTTAGCTTGAGCATTTTGCTTGACCAGTTTTTGGCTAATAAGCTCGAGTTTTTATCTAATTTTTAGCTCGAGCTTGTTACTTGACCAATTTTTGGCTAATAAGCTCGAATTTTTGGTATATATGTAGCTCGAGCTTGTTACTTGACCAGTTTTTGGCCAATAAGCTTAAGTTTTTGGTCTATATGTAGCTCGAGCTTGTTACTTGACAAGTTTTTGGCCAATAAGCTCGAGTTTTTTTGGTGGTATGTGTGAGTCTTGAGGTTGCTCATGGACAGTGAGTACCACCCCGGGTCTCGACCTTAGCATAACTTGATTTTTTCAAGGAATACTGAGTACTGAGGTCGGGGGCTTTAAAGTCGACAGACATATTAGATGCGTGCGCGGAGCACGGCCTTATGCTAATTTTTTGATGTACTAACTGCATGCGCGGAGCACAGCCTTATGCTAGTTTAGTGTACTGGCTGCATGCGCGGAGCACGACCTTACGCTAATTAAATAGACTAGCTGCATGCGCGGCATATAACTTATGCTAGTTTAAAATGTTAGCTGCATGCGCGGAGTACGACCTTATGCTAATTAAATATACTAGCCGCATGTGCGGAGTATGACCTTGTGCTTGTTTAATGTGTTTGAGACAAGTTTTTATTGTCGAAATGAGTTTCAAATAACGAAAGAGTACAAGGCACATAGCCATAACTGAAAAAATAAATTGTTTGACGGCATGCAAACCCGAACCAGAACCAAAAATAAAAAAAAAGAGCTACCTTAGAACAAAATAGAAAACCAAACAACCTATATACCTGGGTGCGTAACCAGCTACTTGTAATAAATTTTCAAGTCATTAGCGTTCCAAGGCATTGGGAGTGGTCTTCCCAAGGTATCCTTCAAACTGTATGCTCCGCTTCTCATTTTTCGTATAACTCCGAAAGCCCCTTCCCATACCGGTCCTAGTTTCCCTGGAGGATGCCCAGCAGCTGCTGCTCTTCTAAAGACTAACTCACCAACTCTAAATCTCCTTATCTTGACCTTGGTGCTGAAGTGCCTTGCTATTTTATTTTGATAACTTGCGGCCCTCAACGAGGCTTGTTCTCGTAGTTCTTCAAGTAAATCAAGGTGATTAGTCGTTTGTCCCTCAATGTGGGGCTCGATCTTCCTCTGTGTTGGAAGGCCGACCTCAATTGGTATCATAGCCTCCATTTCAAAAGCTAGCACGAAAGGGGTCTCACCAGTTGCTGTCTTATGGGAAGTCATGTACGTCCAAAGTATGGCGGGCAATTCTTTGGGCCAACTACCCCTGGCAACCCCGATTCTTGTTCAAAGGTCTTGCAATATGATTCGGTTAGTTACTTCGATGAGACCGTTACTCTGAGGGTGTGAGACTGAAGTCAGGAGATGGTCAATCCCGAGGTCGGTACAAAAGTTTCTGAATTGCGAGTTATCAAATTACCTTTCGTTGTCCATTATCAGCACCTTTGGTATCCTGAACCTACACACAATAGATTTCACACGAATGATCTGAGCTTGGGTTCTGAGATGATTGCCAAGGGCTCCGCTTCTACCCACTTGGTGAAGTACTCTACCGCTGCAACAACGAATTTCAGTTGACCTTTTGCTAAAGGTAAAGGTCCAAGGATGTCAACTCTACATTGCTCAAAAGGGGCAGTACATATGATGGATGTTAGGTCTTCAGCATGAGTATGTATGATATTGCCGAACCTTTGGCACTTGTCACACCTCCTTACATAATTCGATGCATCTTTCTTCATGTTAGACCAATAATACCCATACCTTACGAGCTTGAAGGCAAGTGCCCGAGCTCCTTAATGATTCCCACATACACCTTCATGAACCTCTGTTAGGGCTTGAAGAGACTTGGAGGGTTTGAGACACCTGAGGTAGGGTAGTGTAAAACTCCTGTGAAATAAGACTCCTTCAATAATGCAGTACCTCGATGATCTAGTCTTAATGCTTCTCGCTTCCTGGGGGTCAGATGGTAGGTTCCCGTTATTTAAGTATTCCACTATTGGATCCATCCAAGAAGGCTCTTGATCAATGTCCATGATGCTCGGTTTCTAATTTATGCTAGGCTCGTCACCATCTTGACGTCTGTCCAGTCCATCTATCCCCAGTTCATAAGTCTAAATAATGTGTCAGCCTTCGCATTATCAGCTCTAGCAATTTTAATGATCTCACGACTTTTAAATCGTCTCCGAAGGTCATGGACCTTTAAGCAGTACATGCTCATTTTCTTGTCTTTTCTCTCAAAAGCGCCCTCGATCTGGCCAACCACTACTTGTGAGTCACTGAAAACTTTCACATGCTCAAGTTCAAGGTTGTATGTCAGTTCTAGAGCTAGGATGACGGCTTCATACTCTGCTTTATTGTTGGTGGCTTCAAATTCGAACCTGAGCGCGCATTGGATCTCGTTAGTCTTATTCGGATCAATCCCGACCCTGAACTGTGGTTATTCTCATGTGGCCCCGGGGGCCTAAGGGTAAGTTCTACAATGAAGTCAGCTAAAGCTTGCGCCTTAATTGCTGGTCACAGCTTGAACTCTATATTAAACTCACCCAATTCAATCGCCCATTTCAGTAGTCTTCCTGAGACATCTAGTTCTGAAGTATGTGTCTAAGTGGTTGATCAGCACAACAATTGGATGAGATTGAAAATATTGACGTAGCTTCCTGACAGATATAACTAAGGCAGTGCAAGTTGTTCAGCCAATGTGTACCGAGTTTCTGCATCGAGATGTACTTTACTCACATGGAAAATAGGTTGCTGGACCTTTCCCACTTCCTTCACCAATACCCCATTTACCGCATTCTCAGAAACAACCAAGTATAATACAACGTATCACTAGATTCTAGCTTAGTGAGGACCGGGGTGTTGAAAATGTTTGATTCAGCTCTTGAAAGTCTAAATTACATTCTTCATTCCAATCGAAGCTTCGGTTATCCCTTAGGATTTTGAAAAAGGGAAAGCACCTGTGTACTGCTCGGGATACAAACCTATTCAAGGCTGTAACTCGATCTGCTAATTTTTGTATATCCTTCTTGCAACTCGGGAGTTCAATAGATATCAAGGCTTGGATCTTGTCAGGGTTGACCTTTATTCCCCTATGTGTGATCATGAATCCTAAGAACTTGTCGAAAGCCACTCCAAATGCATATTTCGTAGGATTCAACTTCATATTGTACCTCCGTAGTGTAGCGAAGACCTCTTCAAGGTCCGAGATATGACAATCCACTTGCTTGCTCTTAACGACCATGTCGTTCACGTATGCCTCGATGTTCTTCCTTGGAAAAGACCTTATTAATAAGTCTTTGATATGTAGCTCCTTCCTTATTGATAAGTCTTTGATATATAGCTCCTACATTCTTCAACCCGAATGACATGACCCTATAGCATTAAATGGTTGAATCAGCCATAAATGAGGTCTTCTACTGATCCTCTTCTGACATAAGAATTTGATGATACCCAGAGAAAGCATCCAGAAAACTGTATAATTTATGACCTGAGGTACTGTCCACAAGATTATCCATTCGAGGTAGTGGATAGCTGTCCTTAGGGCATGCTTTATTCAGATATGTGAAGTCGATGCAAACTCACCACTTCCTATTGACTTTCTTGACAAGAACGACGTTGGCAAGCCAATCGGGATATTGGACTTCCCGAATGAATTTCACATTAATAAGCTTAGCAATTTCCTCTCGTATTACTTCCTGCCGTTCTGGCGCAAACTGCCTCCTCCTTTACTTCACTGGTCTTGCATTTAGGTTTATGTTGAGTCTGTGTACAACAACTTCAGGGTCAATTCCAGGCATATCCTTGACATTCCAAGTGAATACATCAATATTACGGGACAGACAACTGATAAGTTGGGTCGTGGTTGTAGCATCAAGATCTCGACCAATGGTAACTTTTCTACCAGGCTCGAGCTCGACCTCATCCATCTTCTCTACCGGGGCAAGCCTCCCACGATGCTCAAGGTCAAGCTCGATCTCCGAAAGTTGCATGACGTCCGCCTTGATCTCCCGAACGCTGTTTGGCTTCCTCGAACTACCCCGACCCCATTGCTTGTAGGAAGTTTCACTGCTAGGTGAAAGGTTGAGACAATGGCCTTAATCCTATTCAGCAAGGGCCTTCCAAGTATGACGTTGTAGGCCTTAGGAGCATGAACTACTTGAAAAGTTGTGATCTGCGTTACCTCTTTTCCTTCTGATCCCAAGGTGAGAGGCAACCTGACAATGCCTTCGGAATAACGACACCGCCTCCGAACCCCTGAAGGGGGTTTTGACCAGCTTGAGCTGCTCAGCTGAAATACCCATCTGAACGAAAACCTCATGTGACAGCACGTTAGCTGTGTTTCCATTATCCACCAAAATTCTCTTCACCTTAAAATTAGCAATGATTGCCGATATAACCAAGGTGTCGTCATGAGGAAAAGACACACATTCTAAGTCCTTTGATCCAAAGGTGATGTCTTCAACATTTCTGAGATCCATGCTTGAGATCGAGGAGTATTACACCCGCTGTTGGAGTCCTATCTTGAGGCCGTCCCTCCGACAATGATATTAATAGTACTTGCAGCTGGTTGCTTATCTCCATTATCTTCAGAAGCCTTACCCTTATTTTGGCTGTTCCACTGACGCTTATCATGACGGACGTAAGTACCCAAGAAACCCTTCTTGATGAGAGTTTCGATTTCCTGCTTCATAGCGAAGCATCCTTCAATTGTGTATCCATGATCTCGATGAAAGTTGCAGTACATACTTTTGTCACGGGCTTCAGAGGAGCCCGTAGTCTAGAAGGCCACTTCAACTTTTTAAGGTCTTTGATTTTCATCAAAATGTTAGACTTTGTGGTGTTCAAACGAGTGAAGGATGTTGTAGGGGGATCTTGTATTGGCTTGCTTCAAAAAGGATTCGGACGCTGGTTAGAATCATGTGGCCTCTTAAGCTCGGGCTTCTTTAATGGCGAGGCATCTCTTATTGGAAACATGATCTCCTCTATGTTGATGTATTTCTTAACCCGGGTAAGTAGGTTGGTATTGACTTGGGAGGGGTATTTGATAGAGACATCTTAAATTCCTCACATCTTACGACATATGTTAGAGCAAAGACTACAACTGATATGTAGATCAGGGATCAGAAGTCTTTTCTTATTAAACCTTGTCATGAAATTGCGAAGCGTTTCGCTGGATCCTTGACGCATCTGCATGAGTGACGCAGTTGTCTTCCTGATGCGCTTACTACTTGGAAAGAACGCGGAGAACTTGTCAGCCAATTTTGAAAATGAAGATATGGAGTTGTGCTCCAATGTGAAAAACCAGTCCTTGGCTGCGTTGGTAAGTGTTTGAGGAAAGGCATTGCACATTACAGCGTTGTCCCATCATACTTCTTCACCCGAGGGTACTTAAATAGGTCCAATATGGGGTATGATAAGACTTCCGGGGTGAAAGGTGTGTTAGGGGTGAACCTTGTTACTGCCTGAGACTTCTGAAGCATTCCGGCTATGATTTCCTCCTGAATAATCCTTGCAAGATCAGCAGAGTTCATAGTATTTGATCTCGAACCTAAGGGCACATGTGGTACTTTTGAGGTTCCGGCATCACAGTGGCTGGGGTCGGGAGCCCAAGCATCTGACATAAGACCACTATGCGGGGATGGTGCTGGGGGTGTACTTCTCTGATGTAGCAACTGAGTTAACGTGACCACTTGTTGGTGGAGTTCCTCAAACACTCCAGGAGTGACTGCTGCTGATGGGTATGGTGGTTCTCCTAATGACATCTCCTGACAACCCGAAAGGTCTCCGATAGGGGGCTGGTTGGGAGTGGATGAGCTGGCTGGAAGATGTCCTGAACGTGTGTTAACCATGGCTTCTGGTAGCGTTTTCTACAGACGGCGCCAATGATCCTACCAAAAATTTGTACCTGATTGAACTCGAACTGAATGATTGAACTCCGCACGATCTAATCTTCAACACCTGAAACAAAGGGGTCGAGGTGTGTCATCGCTGTCCCTCCGATACTTAAGACAGAAAGAAAAATTGTGCAAAATGTTGTATGCTGGAATATTATTAAAAACTTACTTGAATAATGAGGTTGGGTTATGTATTTATAGATGTTGGAGATGGAGTAATGGAGTCCTAAAAGGATTCAATTTTCGTAGTCTTATCCTCGTTATACAATGTATTTGTGTTATGTTAGAAGTGCCAGTTTTAGTTAAGAGTCAAATTCGTAATAGGTTAGG